TGGAGAAGATTATCCATGACTCCTACCCAAATCTCTTTGATAGCCATGTCCACTTGCCGACATACCAAATTCCACAGGATGGATATGTCGTTCCCCACGTTCTCCCTTCCGAAATCCGATATGCCATTTCATCGGTAAAGAAACGAACAGCACCCGGCCCAGACAAGGATAGACCTGAACACCTGAAGAACCTGCCGTCAGTACTCATCAATACACTGGCTCGGCGCTTCACACGCTACCTGTCTGAATGCAAGGTTCCGTCCCAATGGAAAACCAGCAGGACCGTACTACTGTTCAAGAAGGGAGACATCCATGACATTGGCAACTATCGCCCGATCTGCCTATTGTCTGTCATCTACAAGCTGTTCACTCGAGTCATCCTAAATAGGATTGGCAGAACACTAGATGAAGGACAACCATGTGAGCAAGCTGGGTTCTGCAAAGGATTCAGCACCATCGACCAGATCCACACAATAACCAAGCTTATTGAGGTTTCTCGGGAGTTCAAGATGCCGCTCTGTTTAACGTTCATTGATTTAAAGAAGGCCTTTGATTCTGTTGAGACGGAAGCGGTCATTGAAGCCCTAGCCAATCTGGGCATTCAAGCCCAATACATCAAGATCCTCCATGAGCTGTATTGTGGATTCACTACCAGGATCTCACCATTCTACAAAGAATAATCATCGATGTCAAGAGAGGGGTTCGGCAGGGTGATACTATTTCACCAAAACTCTTCAGTGCCACCCTCGAGAACATCATGCGACGACTGGAATGGGAAGGAATGGGAGTGAAGATAGATGGTTGGCAACTACACCACCTGTGCTTTGCTGATGACATTGTTTTAATAACACCAAACAGCAGCCAAGCGGCACAAATGCTGGCCGACTTTGACTGTGAGTGTGGAAAGGTGGGACTACAGCTGAATCTTACGAAGACAATGTTTATGAGAAGCAGCCTCGTTCCTGATGCCCCATTCGCTCTCAATGGAACGGCCATCTCCAAATGCAACAGCTATGTGTACCTAGGTCGAGAAGTCAACATGACAAATGACCTGGCACCCGAGCTGCGCAGGAGGAAGAGATTGGCTTAGAACGCCTTTAAGAACGTTGAAGAAATAACTAAGAGGACGAAGAACCTCTGGCTCTGGGCACATCTCTTTGATTCCACTGTTCTTCCTGCATTAACATATGACTCAGAGACCTGGGCCCTACGTAAACAGGATGAGAATGCTATTTGGGTCTCCCAAAGAGGAATTGAAAGAGCTATGCTTGGAATATCACGTTTCACTCAAATGAGAGAAAGAATCTGGAGTTCCGACATCCATGGACGATCAAGAATCAGGGATGCTGTCTCGTTTGCCAAGGTGTCAAAAATCAGATGGGCTGGTCACCTAATGAAATTTAAAGACAACCGCTGGACTAGAGCTGTTACCGACTGGATTCCACGGGATGTCAAAAGACCGTGTGGCCACCCACCTACCAGATGGTCAGACTTCTTCATCAAGATCATGACCGATCGTGTTGAGGCTCTTCATGTTCCCAGAGTGAACAGATGCCATTGGGCTACACTAGCATGTGACAGGGACAAATGGAGACGTTACTGGCGCCCGCTCGAGCAAATCGCCGACTAACAGGAAATTAAATGATTAAAAGGTATCATGTCTGTCCTTTTACCTCCTTTCAGCACTCAGTTCTCGTCCAGAGTGATCATTTCCAACTATCATTGTCATAGTGGTCACTTCTCTATCCTAACTGCCCTCCCTCAGCCCTTCCGCTTGTGGCAGGCTCTTATTTGTAGACCCATCCTTCTGGCCCTTGTGTTTACTATCTCTGGGGTTAGTCTCATATTCCACTTGCTTTTATCTTCCACAGATGAGTGCTATCAGTATATGTCTCTCATTTTGACTGATTTCACTCCGCATGTTATTCTCCATGTCCATCCATTTATAAGCAAATTTCACGACTTTTTTCCTACTTTTTGGGAAATCTTCATATTGCCTATAAGCTACTTTTATCTCAGAAGTTCAGTGATTTGGTCCAAGAGAAACTGGAGGAGTTAAGGTAAAGACCTAGTCTTTCTTCTTTTGGGGCCCGGAGTGTTCCATTACTCATATTTCCTTCACTGCAGCATTCTGACCCGGGTTATGCTCTGCAATAAGTGTAACAAAGTTTCTTTAGGTGCCAGGACTCAAAAGTGTGAAATTAGAAGAGACTGAACTCCCGACCTTTGAGCTTCATAATTTGTGAGATGCAGTGCAATATTAACATGCAGGAGTTGTTAAAAATGTTTAAACATTTCAAGACAAGGATAGCAGAGGATGAAACCTAGTGGGAAGCTGAATGTGGATTCCTAATGGGTAAGAAGTCTGGGTTGATTTTACAGATTGCACTTCAATACAACTGCTTCTGCCTCTGATGTCAACTGAAGAGTGGAAAACTTCGTTTCTTTCAGAAGATTGATATTTCAGGTCATATGAACTCTCCTATAAAATACCCTTTTTTGGAGGGAGGGGGAGTTGAGGGTACTGGACTACAACCTGCTGTGCTCAGGGATTTCTTCTGGCTCTGTGCTCAGAGGTCACTCCTGGCAGTGCTTAGGGGACCATATGAGCTGCTGTGGATAAGTTTGAGCTGCAGGCAAGGCAAGCACCGACCCACTGTATTGCTCGAGGCCCAAATCTCTTTTCTAAATTTCAAATATTCAGCCTTATATATCAATATCTGCATAAACTACCTTGTATTTTTCACCAGGATGTTGGTTTCTAGCTATCACCAAAATGTTGACCCCATTACCCAACGTACCTTTGCCCCCCCCACTTTCACTGATAATCACTATTTTGTTTTTCTTATCTAAACGTCTTTTTTCCCTTTATTTAATTCGTTTTATCTACCACATATGAGTGAAATATTACATTGTTTTGTTCTGATTTTTTTTTCACTGTTAGAAGTACAATACCTTTAAGATATTCATGTTGCAGCAAATGGCAGGATTTTGTCATTATTTCCAACTAAATAGTATTTGATTGTGGAGAATCACCTTTATACATTCATCTGTTAGTGGGCTCTTAAGTTGTTTTTATCTGCTGGCTATTGTAAATGCTACTGCAATGAACAAGGAACTGACATCTCTTCAAATTTGTGCTTTGTATTTGTATCATTACCAAGAAGTGAAGCTGCTGGATCCTTTGTCTATTTTTTTAATGTTTTAAGAAACCTCATACAGTTTTTCTTTGGGGGAGGGTGGCTATATGAATTTATATTCTGATCAACAGTGCATGAGTTCTCCCTCTTCTTCACCTCCTTTCTGGTACTTGCATTTCAAACCTTTATTTCTTCCATCCCCATTAAGAGAGTTAAGGAATACAGTTCCTCAGTATACCTTCCAGTATCTTTCTAATTCAGTTCTCATAGACCAAAATTCAGACACTGAGTCATAATATCACTAGTAGCTAATATTTATTAAACATTTACTATATGACAGATACTAGGCCCAATTCTCTGTATTGTGCATTTTCATCCATTGAGAAGTATCACCTGTCTCTCCACCTTCAAGATCTAGGCTGACTTTCTGGCTTGCTTTGGGTAATAAAATCCACCAGGTAAGATGGTGTGCTAGTTCAGGGTTTGGATTTAAGGCTTTAGTTCTCTCTAATTTGGAACCCATGGACTGCCATGAGAACAAACCCCCAGTAATCTGCTTGAAATACGTAGCCCTTGAAAGAGAGCTATTATACTCATTTAGTGTAATAGAGAAGTCAGCCCTTGGTTGATCTTCCAATTAACTGCTGATGCATGAGTGTTTAGCTGGTTTCAAAAAAAAGGTCTAGGTCAGTAAACCATTCTACTGATTGTCTCACTGTGAAAAATGACCTATATCTTTTTGGTGGCCCAGGTAACCCCAGGCATTGTAGAATTGGAATATCTTGCATTGAACCACCAGCCAGCTGGTCAAGGATACTGAGAGAGGCCCAAGGGCCTCCTGAGCCTCCTCGGGGGAACTCCTCCCTCCCCCTAAAAAAGCCCTGTCTTTGGTGGTGGTTAGTTATACATTATTTTTCTAATACATAACGTATATACCATTATTTATCCTCTTAATTGCTCTTTCCTTATTTTTTCTTATTTTGGTTTTGGGGCCACATCTGGCTGTGCTCGGGCTTTAGCTCTGCACTCAGTGATAACTTCTGACAGGGCTCTGATGGCTGCCAGGGATTGACTGGGTCAGCTGTGTGCAAGGCAAGTGCCCTTCCTCCTGTATTCTTTCTTCACTCCCTATTTCTACTTTGGTGATTAGGAAAAATGCATGGAAGACTTGAGTTCTTGCCATTAAGGAGAAGCCAGCTCATGGAACTAGATATTTTGACTACAGAGACAAAACTTTTGTGGTCTCTTATCACAGCAACTCAGTGATCTGCCATACAATAAACTACTTTGAAAGCCTCCCCCCCGTTTGGGGGGAAGAAACAGTGATTTTGCTCATGGGGCAGTCCCAAAGGAGCGAACTCAAAGCCCAGAAATCTCTCTGCCAATCAATGGCGTATTTATTGCTAACTCAGAGTTATTAAACACTACACTTATTTATTGCTAACTCAGAGTTATTAACACTACACTCTACAAGGAAAATGCATATGAGGAACAAGAGAAACTGTCTTTGAGGTTGAGGTCGAGAGCTAAATATTAGCAGAAATTTGCTGAATTTCATTAACACTAAATTATGACTGAGTTCTGCAAGAGGTCTGGAGACAATCCCATTAATGTAAATGCCATTCCTTATACTGTCCAGTCTGGAATTATTTTTTTTGGTAAATGAAAACAAAATATGTATTAATGGAATTCACTTATTAGACTAAATTCACTAAATTAATGAGCAAGTTTCTGTTCACCTCCACTTCTGCTCCATAACTATGACCAAAATCCAAAACACCAAAAGAAACACTTATTCCCATAGTTGCAAGTGGTCACTTTGGTAAAATAGGAGAGGGGACCCCAGAATGAAGTTCTTACAAATATCGAAGATTGGGAAGGTTCTGGAAGGCTTCAGAGTCAATGTAAAGTAGGTTGCTGGCCTTTTCAATTCTGCTGTAAAATTAGGAAAGGACAGAAAGTAATTTTAACAATAAGAAATACTGTAGTATTTTTTACATTATGTAATAATTATATATCAATAATTCATCCATCCATCTTTTTAACAAACATTAAGCTTATATGCATTCCCTTTTTCTATACTAAATTGTGAAGTTAAATATTAATTCTGTCCTCTTTAATTCTCATCCTTAAGGTTCTCCCTCACTTATTCACACAGGAAACAGAACACTAGCTGAGAGAATCATTTTCACTCTGGCCATGGCTCAGCCTTAAACCTGTAATGACCTTCCAGATCAAGAGTAGGCTAAAATGTTAGGGTCAGATTAATAAGATAAAATGAGTTTCTCCCCTCATCTGGAGACAAAATAAGAGACATGAAAACTAACAAGGGTGGATGGAAAGATCAGAAGGATGGCACAATGAGATTAAGGGAAAATGAAGTGGAAAGATTAGAGCAAATGGAGATTCTGGAGTAAACGGTGGACATCTCTGTTTTTAACCATGAAATCCTGATAATCAGCAGCTGGGAGTTGCCTGCTATCTCTACCTGCTGGAGGCTGGGACTGTTATTCACAGCTCATGGCTAGTGGTAACTCCTGCCCCACCTTGACCTGTGTTACATCCTGATCAATAGTCTGGAGGTGAGCGTGTTGACATTTGGATTCCAACAGAGAAAGGCTGCCCTTTTCTCATCTTGCTAGATCAATGTATATTTGCAGAGTTGCCCTGTGTTAATTACTTCCTCTTTGTTTCATTAGCTTTTATGCTGCTGTAACCTGTAGCTACCCAGATCCAAGAAGTTGGCAATTAATCGCTTTAAGAGCAGCCAGTGCTACACAGGGTGAGCACTTCTCTGCGCGGAAATACGATGAAAAAGCTGCCCCATTAGCTCACTGCCCATTGCCCTGCATGAAGCTGTGTTCCTTGAGTCTCATCAGAGCATTGACTACCTTTTTGATTAATTTTTTCACTCATTCCTATGTCTTCTGAAAACCCAGGAAGGCCTCTCATCCCAGTGAGGGTAAGAAGGGCCAAGTAGGGATAAAGCAAGAAGCATGAGGGCACTGGAAAAGGGAGAGGAGGCATCAAGTGATGGAAGAGGATAAGGATGTGGGTACAAGGAAAAGGTCTGGGGAGTGGGTATACGCTAGCCAGAATGGACAGATTGACATTCCTAAACAGAATGACTTGTGTATTTACATATAGATACTACATATATGTATACACATATATAAGCATATACTTATATGTCTAGCCCATTGATACTTGGCAAATACTAAAATTTTCAATTAAAACGTTTTATGGAGGTTTATGTTCAAGTTCCATCCTTCTGTGGATTTGGCTGTGGGACTTTAGGCAAACCTCATGACTTCCCTGTGCCTTTCATCCTTCATCTGTGGCATTATAAAAATGTTTCATTGACTTCCCTAAATGTGCTCCATAGGGTTTTCTTATTTTTGAGATTTTCATTAGTGCTTCACAGAAGAAACATTCTTAGGGACATTAGTTAAGAAACACATAATGCAATAGACTTCTTGGAGATTCCAAGTACGTATTAGGCTATTATTGGCTTAGAAATGTTTTTCCAGAGAAGTGAATCTATCTAATTAAATTTGACCAATGCTTCCTAATATTATTTGATCAGAGGATATTTTTTCCCTTTTTTAAACTCTCAATTTCTTGGGGACAGAGTGATAGTACAGCGGGTAGGGTGTTTGTTTTGCATGTGGCCAACTGGGGTTCTATTCCTGGCACCGCATATTGTCCCCGGAATATTGTCAGGAGTAATTCCTGAGTCAGAAGTAACCCCTGAGCATTGCTGGGTGTGGCCCCAAAGCCAAAATGAGTAAATAAGCTCTTAATTTTCTGAATATTTAACTATACATTATACACACACACACACACACACACACACACTTCTGGTCCTGTCACTAAGGTTTCTTTTGATTTTGACATTCTATGATTTGTAAATTTATGATAATTACAGAAAATTATGAAATAGAGGTGAAATAGAGGTGGAACTATGCCAACATAGATGACATGCCTATGAAACTACATTGTCAACAGAAAAAGTAAATTTGTTTGGAGTAGCAGAGAAACCAAGGATGATTGACATTCTTCCATTATACAAGTTGATGTGTTAATTCTACTTTATACTTATTTATTCATAACAATGATTGTATGGGGCACGAAATTTCATTTTTCCAGATTTACAACATGAAAACTAAGAATTATTTTGACCAAGGTGTGTGTATGTCATAGGTTAACATTTAGACTGGAGCTGCCCGGGTAACTAGTACACAGGGCACTTATTTTAGCCTTTGACTATGGAAGAACTAGAAAAGACAAGGTGGAGTTACTTGCTTGTGTCATAGGGCAAGGTTCTTGGGTCAAACTGTGCAAAAAACTCTAAGAAGGAGGCAGGAGGTTGATTCAACTCTGGGCTGATGTCTATATTGGCAAGCAGAAATGCATATTGTCAACAGGAACTTTTTTGAGCTGACTTTGATACATTAAATATGAAATTCAGGAGATCTAGGAAAAAAACAGAACCGAGTCTCTAGGGAGCATGAGAAAATTTTAAAGCTATTATACAGCAGTTATGAGAAAGCCACTAGGTTTCTTGCTTACATTTCATGCAATTTAGGAAGGTTGGAGAACACATTCGCTTCTATTGCTTCCAAGACATCGTTTTGTGAGATCTCGCTGCAGAGAAAGAAACATAATTCAGTTCAGTTACACTATCCTCCATGCATAGACTTAAGACTAGGGATATGGATCTTGTGCTTATGATGCTTCATCAGACCCACACAGATGTCAAAGAAATCTGCTCTCAAAAAAGTTAGCCTGCCACAAAGGCGGGGCAGGGTGGGGGGGATGGGATGGGAGGGCTACTGGGATCATTGGTGGTGGAGAATGGGCACTGGTGGAGGGATGGGTACTCGATCATTGTATAACTGAAATCCAAGCACGAAAGTTTGTAAGTCTGCAACTATACCTCATGGTGTTTCACTAATTAAAAAAAAAAAAAGAAAAAGAAAGCCTACAATGAGATGAAACCAACATGCTCAATCAAGAACAATCCTTATGGGACAGTAAGAGAATTATCCTAAGGTAAAATCCCCGTTTAGAAAACATTCATTCCGACATTAGAACTCAAGGCTTAAGGAGAGAAAGAGACATAGACAGTAAAGATTTGAGGGCTTTGTGGGGTCATTTGGTCTCTGTCTCAACTAATCAACTACTATTGCAGTGCAAAAGTAGATATAGATAAGTAAACAAGTGAACATGATTGGATTTCAATCAAACCTTTTTAATCATAATTTTTATAAAAATAAACAGGTGATAGACTGAATCTAGCACCACAGGCTGCAGTACAATGACTTGCCCTCGATAATGATCTTGTTTGGGGAAGAAGGGGACCTCACTTCAATTTTCTATTAATTTGGGTTTTTTGAGGGGTCTACCTAGCAGTGCTCTGGACTCTGTATTTGAGGGCCATTCCTGATGATCCCCAAGATTAATCTGATCTGTCTCCGTGCACAGCATGAACCATGTGAACTATCTCTCTGGCCCTCTGTCTCTTTTAAATGGTTTAAAAACTCTTCCCTTCCATGCCATTACTCAAATGGGGACCATTTCTACTGAAAGGCCTTAGCCATTAATGTTGTCTTATAGTTTTCAGAAAAAAAATGCTCCCGCAGGCCCCAGCATTTCCCCCCTCTTGTGATTCGAAGGCAGGGGGAAAGTGTCCCCTGTGTGGAAGGCCAGACTTGATGAGGAGAGAGGACAGCTTTCTGAGTTAATGTGTCTAAGTGGCTTACAGATGAAACGTGCTATTATTAGGCCTCCCGAGGAAGACTCTCATGCAGTTTTAATGTGGCAGCTGAGAGTGTCTCAGGAGCTCTCACAGGCAACATGCATTCAAATTGGCTCAGGCAGAAGTGCTGTCCTCCAGCCTGAGACTCAGCTGACACTCTCCAAGACTGCTCTTGATCAAGAACAAGGCCCTGTAGGGGGGAGCGGAGGGATGGCTGGGAATAATGGCTTTTTCCTTCAGGGAGACTGGACTTGTCTGCGGCTTGTCAGGTGTTGGCAGTCTCAGAGGTTCCCATGGGTGAGGAGAAATTTTTTCTTTTTTTGTGGGCAGGTGGGAGGTGACAGACACCAAGTGGAGCTCAGAACTTACTCTTGGCTCTGTACTCAGGGATCGCTCCCTGTGGGCCCAGGGGGGCAAATGGGGTGCTTGGGATTAAAATCAGGTTGGACACGTGCAAGGCAAATGTCCTCCCCACTCTTGTCCTGGCCTCCGAGGAGACATTTTGTGACAGACACCTTTTGTTCTATAGCTGCAAACTCTTGGCCCAAGATGTGCCTAAGTCTGCTGATGACCCTGAAAGGAAAGAAACTGAGACAGAAGATTCCCAAAGAGTTTCTTTGTTTTAAACATAAAATCTCCTCAAGACCCAGAAATATTTCTTCTCTGTGAGAGGTACGCAGCTGACCTGGGTTTGATCCCCAGCATCCCATATGGTCCCCCGAGCACCACCAGGAGTGATTGCGAAGTGCAGAGCCGGGAGCAACCCCTGAGCGTCGCTGGGTGTGGCCCAAAAAGCAAAAAAAGGAAAAAAGTAATCTCAAAAAAGGTGTCGTCTTTTGTTAAGAAGGCATATTTTCCTCTTTTCTCAAACCTTAGGAATGGAACAAGGATCTGTGTTTTAAGATATTTTTTGGTAACATTGATAGCACAGCAGTAGGGCGTTTGCCTTGCAAGCGGCCAACATGGCCAATCCGAGTTTGGTTCCTCCACCCCTCTTGGCGAGCCTGGCAAGCTTCCCGTGATGTATTCGATATGCCAAACACAGTAACAACAAGTCTCATGATGGAGACGTTACTGGGCCCGCTCGAGCAAATCGATGAACAATGAGAGGACCGTGACTGTGACTGTGACCATGAAAGGTAGACTAACATAGCCCTGGGCAACTCCCCCTCCCATCACTAAATACTGGCTGTTTTCTAAGCATTTTGTATCTATCACCTACAAAATCCCTCCTCTTAAATTGCCAAATTTTATTACCCCCTTTTTTATATGATCTCACTGGAGGACTAGATCTAGTTCCAAATAGGGCTCTCTGCATATATAATTAAAGTTTGTCCTTTCTCACTTGTGTCCAGGCTTGTGGGTTTATAACATGGAGGAAGATTATCTTCATCCCAGTAGTGTCTTTTGTGATTCATTCGGTACATTTATGCCTTCACGACTTTCACTCTTGCATACAGTAGCTGCTTAAAATAAAAGGTCTTAATCAAGGTTAGTTTGTTAAGTAAACAAAACGAGGAGTTGGACCTGGGAATAGTCTAACAGTTTTTGAGAACTATAAATTTGAGTGAGATTATGGAGTTGAGAAATAAGAGTGAATAATCAGTCTCTTACATCCAATAGTACAGTGATCAAAAACAAAACAATAAATTCAAACCAGGCTTCTGTAGTTTTGTTTGCATGTCTGAGGTGTTAAACGTTTTCCTTTCTCCTGCTTTAGAATATTATTATCCCTAAATTACACCCAGAGGGGAAGCATCAGGGTAGTTAAACTTTGTTTTCATGCCGCTTATGAGAATCTTGATTGGATAGTGGGAGCACTTCTTGTCTGGTCTCCCTATAACTAACAGAGGCAAATTGTTGATTTCATTTTCTGAGTGCTACATGGAGTTTTCTGCTGACTGACTTCACAGAACAGGATCAGCCTAATTCACTCTAGGACATGCAAGGACCTTAAACTCAGCCTCTGAGACCAAGTAGAGGGGTCCTGAAAGAAAACTGCCTCTCTCAAGCAGACAAGTCATGTGCCTCCTCCCCCTTCTCTCTCTCCTTCCTCTTCCTTTTCTCTCTCCCTATCTCCCTCTTCCTTCCCCTTACTTTTTTTCTTTCTCTCCCTTTGATTTCCTTCCTTCCCTTCCCTCCCTTTAACCTCCCCTCTCCTTTCATTTCCTTATCTTCATAGACTGGGCTCATCATTAACTTCATTTTATTCCTCTGTTCTGCTAGTAGAAGCAGTGCCGAGAGGTACAGAAATGAGGAGGGGACTACCTGAGAAAGAAGATACTATGAAACATGGAAGAGTTGAGTGCAAGGACTTCCGATATGAAAAATAACGGGGCAGGAACTGAATGACAAAGAGGGTTTAAGTGCAAAATGGGGCATGGGGTGGGGCACAGTGATAGTACAAAGATTAAGACACTGCCTTGAGGGACACAGGATGCTGTGACCTGGACCCTGGCTTGAATCCTGGCACTGCCAGGGGTGGCCCCCAAGAACCTCAAATATGGCTTAATTCCCAGTCCAAATGCAGAAGGAGACATATTATCTAATAGTGTTTTTTGTTGTTGTTGTTGTTGGCTTATGGGCCATACCCAGCAGTGGTGTTCAGGGATTACCCCTGGCTCTGTGCTCAGTGCTTACTCCTGGAGATGCTCAGGAACCAAATGGGGTGCCAGGAATCAAACCCAAGTCAGCTGTGTGCAAGGCAAATGCCCTACCTGCTCTATTGCTCCAGACCTCCAACAGAATTTCCAGGGTTACCAGTAGGTTTGGTCACTCACAGTACTGTCTGTCTCAGCATTATATTACCCCTAAATTTACCCACAAATATTCACATTTCTCTCCTTAATTCATGTATGAGGGTTCCTTTAAATGGATTATTTTTTGTCAAATAACATAGAAATGATCAAGTAAATTATTAAGTAAATCCAGCCAAGAAACTTCTCAATTGGTTCAGGAGGTCTTCCTTATTTTATGGTCTCAACTGCAAAGAGGGAATTTGGGGGTGACATTAGCTATGTGCATATTGGGGAAGGTCCACACTGCTCAGCAATGGGAAATAACCTCACTGAGGAAATCAAGCCTGTATTTTCCAGCCCAACTCAACTCCGCCGCTAGATTTTCTATTATAATTTATTAGGTAATTGCTATTTACTGATTACCCTACATTCATGCAATCCTTTCAACATCCATGTGAGGTTCGTATTTTGCTCTTCATGTTAATGGAAAGTTTCTCACTAGGAGTCTATGAAAATATTCTAGGAGACTTGTAGTAATAGTTTTCAAGCACAAACTCTCCTTTTATAAAACTTTTAAATATGTGATCTCAGAAATGAGAACTCCTAGCCAGTATCTTAGAAGCTAGGAATAGGAAAATATCTTCATTATTTCCAATAATTACAAACAACTTTAAACATGGGACTTGTATTTACCTGATATCAGATATGGGTATCTAATGTTTAAATGGACACAGAGATTATTGATCTTTATTAGTCTGTATTTAACATCTGTAGTAATAGGTAGATGGTAGATGGAATACTTACTCTTTTTTTCCAATGTCACAAATTCATGTAAGAATTCAACTTCTATGTTAAATTTTTGTGAATGTTTAAAAGCATGGCACTCTTCTCACTAATATATTTTTCTGAGAAGATGGTTATTTCACATGTTGTCTGCATCTATCTTTTCATGTGGGTATTTATTACTTTTAAATAGAGCAGCAAATATACATTTTTCAGTTTTCATTTTTATTGTTGTAATGTCAGTAGCTTTAACACCCATAATCAAAATCTTTTGGGGGTCTTTAGTAAGTTTTAAGAGTGTAAAGAAATCTTAACATGACGTTTGGTAACTGTTCAATGTAGACACAGACAGATGTTCTTTGTTC